GAGAGTAATAGGACTTTACAATGTAACAAATATCCTTTGAAAGAAGACATTACATGGGTGAAAAGCAAACTTGCAGTTCAACCACAGCCAAAGCTACATCCTGCTCTTTTGAAGACAGCAGGTTATGAAAGATCACTCCAGCTTTCTCATGGGAAAACAAGTGGCCAAAGATGCAATGGGAGAGAGCAGTAGGATGTGACCCCCATTTCTCCAGTTCATTACTTAATCACTGGCTTCTGCTTGATTCTGCTATCCCTCCCGAGATACCTAGCAGCAAGTAGGTGAGGTAGCATCTGTTTTGTGAATCCTGCCAAGCAGCCAAACATTTGTTCATGTCAGGACTTTGGGCAATCCAGTGGATAGACGCCTGCCCACAGAAAACTAAGTATGTTACCAGGACAAAGAGATACACCAGTGAACATCAAACATCTGTACAGATGGGTGGGAGGTATATGAACACAGTGCTGTCTCAGGCACCAGGCCATCTCTTCCTCCTGGTGTCTCCAACCCTCAAAGTTAAACCCCAGGGCATATCTACCACCAACCTAAAAAGAAAATTTATCATGACAAGCAGAATGATCCAGGAACATCCAGTCCCTGCTTTACCTCAGATTAAAGAGGCAAGCTGCTTGTTAACAGCAGTAACCTGATGCACGCTTTTAATGCCAACTCTTGTCCAAAACTAGGACTCTTCTTGTGTATTGCAAATCCAAAACAGAACTAAAGGGATAGAGCGTGGTAAAAGAGAAGCCTAATGCTACATCTCCATATCTTTATCCTCCAAAGGTGCGAAGACATTCAGTGCTGTTAGTTAGGGAGTCAAATTTTGAGATGGTAAGTAGTGGCAAGCTTAATATTCGAGAACAAACCTGTATCATTTTTTAAGGCAAAAAATCAAGATATGAAATAGGACCTTCACAGTCTGTACAGAGTTAGAATAATCAATACAAGTGGGTTCCTGAATTAACTTCACATAGAGCACAACCTGAATTGTAAGCTAAGTTCTTCATCTTTCTGGTTGAGAAAAGCATAGTTTACCAAAGAGCCACCCACACTCCCTCTCCACCTTTGGCAAAGGCATGAGGCCACCCCTAGAGCAGTGATCCACTGAGAATGTTTCCAGGGTTCTCTGTTGAGACTTCATTAAAGAGAATAGCATTTGTGTTCAATATCATTCAACATCAATGTCACCATTAAAGCACTGTCTGCAAGTACTCATTGCCCGCATTTGCAAGTGGCTTCCAGCTCCCTCCAGGCAGCAGAATAAGAGGGAAGCCCCACTGAGCCCCCTTCTCTCTTCTACTTACCCTGAATGTTAAGGTGTGCAAAACTGAGGTTTTCTAAAAAGATATGTTGAACAGCTTTACTACAGCTAGAAGGGCAGATTTCCTTCACAGACTGTTCCATGTGCAGACCAAGGAGAGCAGAGGGCCTGGCTACTGCAAGGCTGATGGAGGAGTGCAAATAACTATGGGCCTTGGGGAAAGGGATCTGGTTTGGAGCTCACAATCATGACTACAATTACATCCAGCAGAACTCAAACTACTAATTCTTCCTTTTCCCTGCTAAAACTCTTGAGAAAATGCTCCTTAAAAAACAAGCTGATGATTTTATCCTGGCTTGGAAAGATAAAACCCCAGCACCCAATATAACTTTGGTAGATATGTCACTTTTTATTGATCTGATATGAATTTCACCCTCTTTTCCACCCAACATGAAACAGTCATATTAGAATGATGTCCACTGTGTGGTCAGCTTGGCTTTTCCCATGTGGTTGGTATAAGGTACTCAACAAAGTGATAGGACTGTAAACATAAGACAATTTGATATCAGAACAGACCTCAGTGCTGAAGCACAGCTCCTTGCCAATGCAGACCATTACCTGAAGTTTTCCCTGACCATGTTGTCTGTGGGCTGGTATCAATGAATTTTGCTGGATGAGTCGAGTCCTCTTTCCTGAAGGTATCTTCTTGTTCTGCAGCACTACTTCCCTTTCTGAGCTTCATGCAGAGCTCCTGCTGAATTCATGGAGTCCCGCTTGCCTTTGCTCATGATCATGAGAGACTCTTTGCTGTGGAACATGCCCCAGTGGCAGCAGAGGTAGTATGTTGCAGAAGCATTACCAACATGGAATTATTTCTTGTCATGGGGGGAAAGACACAGTCTGTTATTTTTATCTTTGTAAACCCGTCTGGACATCTTCAGCTCACCAGATTTTTTTTTTCTGATTAAGGGAGCCAGACTCTAACAAACTTTTGCTGGTTAATATCTTTCACTGTGAGTATCTTAATTCCAAGTGGTCAGAGAAGGGCAGCAGCCTGCCCCTTTTTTATTCCTACAGCAGTGAACCTGGGCTGATTTCTCTGCATGCAGAAAGTCATTGAAAGCCAGAGGGAATTCTGTACTTGAAAGGGTTTCAGCCATGAAGTGCAGCAAGCACCAGCAGCACCTCTCTCTGAGCTTCAAAGGAATGAATGACATTCTTTGAGTATTCTGAATCTTGTCAGGTATTTTTGTGGTACTTCTTTTTGCCTAGGTGGCTATACTATAGTCTCTGTACAATTGGGTATGTATATATATATGTGGAAAAGAGAATATTTCAAAACAAAAATAATTCTAATTTTTGACCAAGCTGGTGAAAGTCTCAGAATGGATGAAAAATTATGTGATTTCTTTCATGTTTCAGTGTAATCACTACAAGTGGTTACACAAGATGTAGAAACAGCTGAAGCTGGTATTCAAATATTTGGCTTTGTATTACAGAAGTATACTGAAGCACTGCTAGATTTATTTGTGGTTTAGTTGCAAAAATTTACTCCTAGATTTCAAACTCAGGCTTTGGAGCTATATGGAAAGCATAACAAAGCTATCATACAGTGCTTTCTTGTGGTGCTTGTTCTAAAGGCATTGTTGGAGAAACATGTCAGAATGCTCTTGATACATCAAAAGCTGTACTGGGTATAAACACAAAGTGAAATAGCTTGTAAGTCATAGCAAAAAAATTTGAAAAGCCCTAAACTGTAAACAAGACAGGAAAAAATGGACAGAAAATAATAATTCAGATAAGATTTGTGTCCTTTAATGAGTTATGACTTTTACATAATCTCCAACAGCTGACATATATCCTGCCAAGGAATATACAAGAAATGATACTTTGACTATAGATGCTCAGAGGTGTTTTCAGAGGGTGGTTCTGCATGTAACAATCTAATTTATCAAATTGCAAGAGTATATGGTGCACAATTAAAATGGGATATGCATTGCTTTAATAAAGTTAAATATAAGTTATGTATATAAATTAAAAATAAAACGACTTTAGAATGGAGACACTAAATCAATGGATGTCCAGGTCATTTGTATAAAGGTAGCTTATGAGTAGCAAGTACTTAATTTACTGGTGTTCAGATGCTCATTTTGGCAGAAATGGTCCTCCCACGTGCCCAGCTTTGAAGACATTTCTTAAACTGTTGGTGACCATCAGAAACGAGCTACTGGACTAGCCCTTGGCATGGTCTATGTGGATGCTTTTAAGATCTTGCCACTACAACTGAGCAGAAAAGCAGTCAGTCCTTATTTCTCACAATTCAAAGTAGGAGAAGAAAGCAGGGACAAAGGGGAGAAACAAAGTTCTTCCTCTTTGGTGCCTTCTCAAGGCCTCTGCACATAGATGCAGCAGAGCCTTTGGATACCCTCTGTTACTGCCTCATACTCCCAGTTTGTGCCTGCCTGGTCCCCATGCAGGGGCACAGGCAAGGTGTTCATTACCATTTAAAAAGACCTGTCATCTACCTATAGAAGATGAGTCTAACAAACTCCTGCTGGTTTTTGTCTTCACTGTGTGTGCATCCTAATTCCGGGCAGCAGCATTTCACTGAGGAGTCAGAGGACACATTATCCTTCTTTTATCAGTACACAACCCTAGTCATAATGTATGCCCACAGGAAGAAACGTTTTCCCATGCAGGGAATGACTCAGACTAGGTCAAAGCAGCAATATAAGGAGAGTGGAGAAAAGTGAACACTAACTGCAGCTTGCAAAAGGTGGCATTTATCTTAGCAGAGTGACAGCTGCTTAAACTGTGAAGTTACAAGGGAGTATTGTGATTTTCTGACTCTGAAGCCCACCCTTTAGGAACCACTGATCTGGAATATGAAAAGACTGCATGTGCTGAAAAAGTCTTTTTTAATGAGACAGGGTCAGATGGTGATGAAGCTCACTCACACTGACTGGCATTTTCCTTCTCTTTATGGCCCCATTAACATTAACACTATCATTATCAATAAAATAAAGCTGAATACAGTGCAAATGCAGTTGCACTCCTGTTGGGTACTGATAATTGATAATTAATAGATTCAATTAGATTCCAATTTTTTTTTCTTTTTTGAATGATCTGCTCTATAGGGAAGTAACAACAGTATGGAGTTCCCCTAGTAGGATTCCTATCATGACCGGGTTATCTAATTGATTTTACATCCCCATGCCATAGTACCTCCAGCTGTGTTAGGGCTCAGTAGTGTGAGCTGCTGCAAATATCAGGCATGAAGCTGACTCTCTGTTCATAAGATTAACCAATGACTAAGCTTAAAAAAAGCATAAACAGTGGTGTAATAAGGCTGTCATTACAGTATAACTAGAATAAAATGAAACTGCTATAAAAATTACCTACATTTTATTATAGCAAAGTGAAATGCAATCAGAAAACTGCTTCCTTTTAGTATAAATGTTCCACCTGCCTGCATACAGTATGCTACACAAAGTCCTGAACTTAATCACCTCTTAGCTGTGTCGATTCTTTCCTGACGCAAAACACAGCAATGCACCAAATCAGCTAGAGACACCAGAAGTTATTTAACATGCATAGTCTTAGAGTCTGACCAGTCTTCCTTAGTTTTTGTATATTCTTTGAGCCAGGGAAAAAAAAAAGTAAATAAAATCTACAGAAGTTGTACAAAAGCGGGCTAACTATTTTATTTGTATCACAGATGGCTTGTGCCTTGTAATATCTGTTGGGCTGTGCTCAGGAAAGGTGCCAGAAGAGCGAAGAGGAGCAAGTGAAACTCTAACCCACACTGCACAAGAACTGCATCCCAGGTCTGCCACAGAGGAGACAGACTCATAACCTGCTGGAAGCAGCCTGGCTTCAGCTAATTTATGGAGAAAGTGTGTTGATCTTCCCTCGTTCTGGCCATGTGTGTTTTCAGAGGTGTCTCTCAGTGGAGGAATGAGCTGGATTCCTCACAGGGCATGACATGCCATAAAGTGCAGGATACCCTTGGTCTGGCAGGAATCTCATTGGCCCACAGAAAGTCTCAGGAGGAGAGAGAGCTGAAGAGAATGACTATGTGTAGTTTTATATCAAACAAGTAGCAACAGAGGTTATACTGGGTGGGCTGGCCTGGACTGGTCTTGCTCAGCTTCATCTGGTGTTTTTCCTTGCAATGCAGCTTCACTCAGGTATCACTTCAATCACTTGACCAGACCTTATGTTTTTCATTTATGTTTTTCAATCTCAGCACTACTGAAACGGGGATGTCACAAGGTACTATTTGCAAGGTCATCAGCTAACCGGATTTTAAAAACTTGAATAGCTCATTAAACTAAACTCTCTGATTTATTATAGAAGACCAAAGCACCTAGGATACATTAAAAAATCAAGTAAGGAAAGAATAGAAATTGTGAAGAAAATGTGGGGTTTTTTAAGCAGTGAGAGTGTTTGAGAAAAGCAGAGATGTAAAGGGAGAAACTTGGAGCCCGAAGATCCAAACTTCCCCTTGATTCTAAACTTAGCTCAGCCACTGGCCCACCGTGCAGATGACTCAGTGCACTTCCTTGAACTTAAATCATTCCTCTTACAAAACTTGTTAAAGAAAGACGTCAGTGTAAATTAGATGTTGTGTCTAAGTTTAGCTATGGCCAATACATAAATATCGGAACTTTAATGTGTTCTCATTTTTGTCTGCTTAGGAAATATGTGTATGTACATGCACATATGCATATATATACATAGCAAGGGAGAGAAAGATTTCTTTGTGCTATTTTTACAATTTTATTTACATATATTGTTATCTTTCTGGTGACATAAGACCTCACAACTGATTAAAAGTTTAACCGTTTTCAGAGCAGCCTGACTGCCGCAACGCCCAAGCACTCTTCATTCTCTCAAACTGTCAGGAAAGTTTCAATCCCATCCAAGCAGTGGGAGCTGAGAGAGTACACATTCGGCATATAACATACATGATGGCTGATTTCTTGTGACACTAATCTTCACTCCTGAGGGAAAGGCAGTCATTTATTCATAACTCTACCACTCAAAAGTAACCATTCTTCTCACCATGGAGATAAATGTCAAAACAGAGACCAGCCATAGGCTGAGTCTAATCTAATCTGTCCAAAATAAATATATATTTAGATCTGTTGTCAAATCTTGAATGGCAAACCCTTTAGCCTGGGTAACTATTTCCTCAGTCTGCCCTCTCCATCTATAAATATGCATACCAAAATGGATATATGCTATCAGAGAAGCATATTAATCCTGCTAAAATGGACAGGATATGATGCTGACCAATCTTTCTGATGTGAGCAGAGAGTCAGAAGACAAAGCACATGACTTTAAGAAATGTATAACAGAGGGGGAAAAATGTATAATTTTTGTTTAAATGAATCTGTCTTTCAACACTCACCTGAAATCAGCAGGCCTTTCACTCTCAAATGGCTGATCCAGAAAATGAGAAAAACAAGATCCTACCTGGATGCCTGTGAAAGATGTCAAAGGAAATTCCCTTTCTCATAAAACTGTTAATTCTCAATGTCCCTCTCCTTTCTCCAGTTCACACTTTCATTTTGAGGATGTTGCTGGGAGGTGTTTATTTATGCTACATCCTTTTCTACCTAGTTTTACCTATGGAGTTCCTCATATCCTCCTGAAAATCACTGTCCCGATTTTCAAGACAGGCAAGAAAGTGGACCCCAGAAACTACAGTTTTAGATTTCAGCAAAGCTTTTGATACTCTCTCCCAGTATCATTCTGTACAAAACGTGCAGCACACAGCCGGATAACCATGTTACGCGATGGATGAGCAACTGGCTCACAGGTCGGCCACAAGGGGATACAGCGAATCCCTTGTCACCTTGGGGGTGACATCAGGCTGACATCCAGTCACTAGTGGGGTTCTGCAGAGCTCCATCCTCAGCCTAGTTCTCTTCAACATCTTCATTAATGACTTGGTCACAAGACTAGAAGGAATACCAAATAAGTTTGCAGACGACACTAAACTGAGAAAAGCTGTTGAATCCCTCAAGGGTAGAGAGACCTTGACAAATTAGAGGGATGGGCAATCACCAACCAGATGAATTTCAACAAGGGAAAGTGCTGAATTCTGCACCAAGATGGGGCAACCCTTGATGTACGTACAGACTGGGCTTAAGAACAGCACTACAGAAAGAGACCTGGGGGTCCTGGTCGATGACAGGTTGAATGTAAGTCAGCAGTGTGCCCTGGCAGCCAGGAGGGCCAAGAGTGTCCTGGGGTGAATCAGGCACAGCATTGCCAGCAGGTCAAAGGAGGTGATTGTCCTGCTCTACTCTGCAGTTAAGCGGCCTCACCTGGAGTGCTGCATGCAGCTTTGGGTACTACAAGATAAAAATTACATTAAGGTAAGAAAGGATGTTCAAAGGAGGGCCATGAGGATAGTGAAGGGGCTGGAGGGGAGACCTTATGAGGAGTGGCTGAGGTCACTTGGTTTGTTCAGCCTGGAGAAGAGGGAACTGAGGGGAGACCACCCCATGGTCTTCAACATCCTCATGAGGGGAAGGATAGGGGCAAGTACCAATCTCTTCACTCATGTAACAGGACTCAAGGAAATATCATGAAGCCCAGTCAGGGGAGATTTAAGTAAGACATCAAGAAATGGTTTTTCACCTAGAGGGTAGTTGACTATTGGAACAGGCTCCCCAGGGAAGTGGTCATGGCACTAAGCTTGCCTGAATTCAAGAGGCATTTGGACAATGCTCTCAGGCACATAGTGTGGATTTTTGGAGTGTCCTGCAGAGGGCCAGGAGTTGGACTCGATGATCTTCATGGATTCCTTCCAACTCAGTATATTCTGTGATTCTGTGATTCTATGATTCTATGACATCCTGGTATTGAGACACTGGAGGACATCACAGAAGAACTAGAAGTGACTGCCATTTTTCTGTCCCTCTCCTCTATTTTATGTGGCCAAAAATCTCCACAACACTCTTTTTGAAGCAGAATGCCTGAAACTGATCTCAGAGCCTGAAGAGAAAGAGATCTTCTCTCTCATAAATAAATTATACTGTTTCAGAGATCAATACATCTATTTCTCCTAGATATTTCATTATTGAAGTATCAAAACAAACATTCCTGCATAAATGGTAAACATAGCTTGCCTTCACTGCTTTTAAACTGGCATATTTCTGGTGCTCAAATATCCCTGTTCAAAGCTAAATCCCATTTTTACATTTGGATAAATCTTGTCAAAAGCCAATTAACTATTTCAAAAGGTGCATTAGGTTTAGCAGTTCAACCACATTACCTCTAATACATCATGTACTATTTCTCTTCTCTGTGTATTCCAGGTAAGTAATTGAGCCATGATTTTAGCAAAAAGCACTTCCAGATGTCCCACACAGGTTTAGAATGAATGGGATCTCAGCTATGCCAGGATGGGCTTGCCTCTAGGAACCTAAGAGCAAAAGAAGGAGATCTAGAGGTCTGCTACGAGTCACTTTGACTTGCTCTGTCCCAGGATTCGCACTTATAACCGGGTCAAATCCTCCTTTGGAATAATTATACAGATCTGCACTGCAGCTGGATTGAGTTCATGTATCACAAGGCACAAATACACAAGCAGAATGGCTGGAATGTGTTTACACTTTCTAAAGGTGGCAGAAATGGGTGCTAGATGACAGCTGAGACAACAAAGCATGGTCACTGTGCAGGAAAAAAAAAAGGAACGATTCCCAGAGTAGTAGCTCAGCAAGGTAAAATATCTGGGAAAAAAAAAAAAAAGCTTTAACACAACATAACACAAAATAGTACAAAATAGGAACCAAGAACCATGGTGTCACTTCCAGGCCATGGCTTCTGTACATGTGAAGTAATCATCTGGAAAAGAGGCTAGCTGTGAGAGAAGATTATGAAGAGATCATGATCTCACAGCAGGACAAAATGGCCAAGAGAGCAAATGCAAACCTTGCTAGCAATGAGCAGCCCCTAACAAAGAAGAGGAAAGTTACTACTTTTTGTCATATCCTCAAGGTGATCACTGCTGGGTACTGTAATCATTTCTAGTCCCAACACTTTAGTAATGATGTTAATAAACACAAATAGTTCAGAAATATTGCCACCTGTGAAAAATCTCCCTCATGCTGAGCACTTAAAGATCAACCTTACTACTTCAAAGAGCGAGCACAGAGGAGAGTAAATCTCTGCCTAAGACTACCTACATGCAGAGGGAAATCTAGAGGCATTAGAGATTCTTCAGAGGGCTACAAATCTCCTGGACTCAAAAATGAGACAAACTGAGACAAGGAACTGAGTGCTAAACTGTCACATTCAGAACAACTTATCCAGTAAATTTGCCATCCATGCAAGCTTTGCAATCAATACTGCTGTCATACAGAACAGCTCACTCAGAAATGAAATGCTAAATGAAGGACTCCATGAAATCTTATGCCCTGTATTATCTAAAACAGAGTAGATGATCATAAGAGTCCCCTTGGGTCTTAAAAATCCATGAGTGTAGTTCAGAGGACATGTACTTCTAGAGGCTAAGAATGAGGTCCTTACATTTTACAGGCATGTGCTTTCCCCTGGAGGTTTTTCCTGAAGAAAGAGTAAATTATTTATCCTATAAGGGGAAAGTAAGCTGCAAAAATATCGAATAGCAGCCCCCAAAAGATCACATTTCCTTCTGATTTTCTATTTTCCTTAACCCTGGGTGAAAACGTATACAGACATTAGATGAACTTTGTGTTTTGAAGGAGACTGAAAGGTTCCAAAGGCATGTGGAGAGGCAGTCAACACCCTTACAAGCTCATCTTGTGAAAGGCAGGTGCTGGCTACAGCTGGGTTAAAAACAGGGCTCTTTAGAAACTGGTTTTTTTTTGTTTTGGTGACCTGTGTAGCTCTGTGACAGATACGGTGTTGTACCACATTTCCGAGGGATGGAATCTGGAGCAGTCTGTCTGCTCTGTTCAGCTTCCTTTACTAATTGGCTGGAGTTTATCATTTTGAGTTATTGTGAGGAGGTTTATTCAATGTGAGGCTCTGAAACCATGTCTTGTCTAGTCATTCTTGTTTCCTCAGCTGGCTTTATCCATTTCTGCTGCTAGTCATAAAGCAGTACACAGAACACCAGCAATCTCCACAAAACTCATGCTGAAAGACTCGTTTTTGAGGTGTATCATTTCAGGAGGCAGTTTAAATCAATGGCAACACAGCTGAGCTTCTTCATGAAGTTTCATTTGATTCAGTAAAGAGAAATTTCTGTTGAGCAAGGCTAGGACCATCTCTGTGTGATTTACAGCAGAATTTCCATCTTCAACAAGTGCCAGGACTTGATGAAGACCTTATCTTTCAGGTGAACCTATCCTAAGCTTGATCCTCAAGCTACCAACACCAACACGGTCTTTAGCTAGGATCTCTTAATCACATTTTCAATTTTGATAGGCAGGAAATGGAAATGTAGTTTGTTAATACGTTTCAGCACTGCATAATTACTGAAGAAACCTAAGAGCAGTTTTTTGCTGTATGCTGTCCTTGGAAAACAGGGGCTGGATTTTGTTATGCTGTAAATCTGGGAAATCCCTGTCCTCCCCACCTCCCCCCAAGAGATATGTTTTGAGATTATTTTTTTTCCATTCTTCTCACCTGATCTGTATTTAAGGAGCACTTTTATCTGACTCTGCAGTAATTGCTAACACATACCACTGATGCCATCAGTCTTCTAAGTTCTCTAGTGTCATCCAGTTAGTCAGTAAAATACTGTTGCTGAAATAGCTTAGAAGGTGAATTCACGCCAGAGAGGGTATGACCAACCTGTTTCAAATCCTGGACTTAAGAGTTTTGAAAAATCAATTGCTAGGAAATTGTCATTTAATTCCTGTGCTTTGTTTTTTAATTGTATAATCTTAAATAGAAGTAGAGTTTACTTCAAAGTAAATTGCTGATACTTTCCCATATACTTGAGTAAAGTCCCGGAGCTACAACAAAAATAATTAACATAAACAGCTATTGCTAAATTAAAGTGAAGATTAAAGTTTGGGTATCCTGACCTCCACTTTGTACCAACAAACTACCTTTTCGCTGTAGACACCTATTACCCTGTAAGACCTAAGGAAGTCTTTGTCGTGTTACAGTATAATTTTTTTTAGGACAGCCCAGTGTATCTTTAATCTAAAGAAAGATGCTGCCGTTGCCCAAGCCGGGTGACGCTTGGAAGCACATTGTCGCATACAGAATGTTCATTAAAAGCGGATTAGGTGAAGATCTCATCAAACAGACGGGATTCCGCTTAAAATAAACGGCTTCTAAGCACAGGAATTGTTAGAGGAATGGACCATAGGCGCCGACCGGTTTGGTTTGCATATTTTAGAGAGTGTTACTGAGCTGGTGTGTGTGGAAGTAGGCTCTTTACTTCAGCAGTTCTGTTTAGTTTACTTGAACAGAGTAGTAACCATCGATAAAAATGTTAGAGGTCATTTGATGATAAAATGTGGAGACTTAATAAAAAGATATCCCAGGCATGAAACATTGCAGCAGAATGCTGCTTAAAAATTAACTAATAAATAAAAAAAAAAAAAATTAAATGAAATGCAGCTTTTACTGTCAGGTTCTAGATTTCTCTCCCCCAAACACTAGACGAAATTGCATTGTTTACAAAAATTTATTAATACAAACTTTACACACTTTATATAACAGTTATCAAAGTCCTAGTTATAGATATCATGTGTGTAATAATACTTTGTTTAAGTTCTTTTTATATTCATTTGCACACAAAAGTTCTCCAAGACTAACATCTACCTACTATGACTGTATCTCAAATCTGCTCAAATTTTGGTAAGGCTGTTGGCGTTTCTAAAGTAAAAGGGAAAAAAATGAAATCGTACAAAGGATAATAACCTAGGTGATCACTTCATAATGCTTGCGACTAGCCACTGAACTCTAACTGATAAGGTCATAAACAAAACGTCGAGAGCCCTATGTCATTATACCACAGCCGACACAAACACAGCGCACTCTGCCCATGGCCAAAGAACAGAAGGACGACTAAAACGCAAGCCGATGTGTTGCAGCATCGTAGGGCCACTAAATAGCCATCCGTGAACTCGTGGCGATTTACAAGGTGAAGAGAAGGCACGAAAGCTGCACACTGCGCCCCGCGTCCCTGCGCCCCGGGGGCCCGCCCCGGCAGGGTCGGCAGGGCGATGCCGGCAGTGCGGGCATCCCGGGCAGCCCGGACAAGCAGTGCCGGCAGCGCCTGCCCGCCCCGCCGGGCTCTGCCCTCCCTGCTCCGCTCCTCCCGGTGGCCCTTCCCGGCCTGGGAAGGAGGGTTTTACCCGCCAGGGGTTTTTTGGTTTGGTTTGGTTTGGTTTGTTTTTTTCCGACGTCTTGGATGCGGGGCTCGTTTTGTGTCTTTGGAAAGACTCCTGTAAGGTCTGTGTGGTGAGCTGGAAGGAAATGGGTACCTACGCGTTCTCCTTCGCCCCCGGCCCGGGCAGGGGACAGAACCAGCCCCCGGGTGGAAGTTAAGATAGGAGTCCGTACATAGAGAGATGAGGTGAAAATGGTTTATCTCGTTAGAAATCGGACCACAGGTGAACACTACACATTCTTTTATGACAAAAGTTTGTTTTATGAAATAAATTTTTACTAAGCAATAAGCCAGAATGTAGAAAAATACATTTTACCTCCAAACTCAATAAACAAGGAACAAAAACTTTCGTAGTAGTGCATAATTCTTTAGTGGTAGCTACAACAGGGGTTCCTAAACTTGTACAATAAGAGCTTGCATAAAACAGAACAAAGGAGTGAGAGAGCGTTCACAATCTTTTTTTTTTTTTTTCCCCAAAAAGAACATAACCCAAAAAGGTGACTCAGGTGGGTTAAACAGAGCTCAGAAAAGTTCGAAGAGAGGATGAGAGGCGGGAGGGTCTACAAGAAAAAGCAATCAAAGAAAAGAGCAACTCCGACCGAAAAATGCAAAGGCAAGAACCCTGCTCATTATTACACATGATGAGAAGCATGGACAGCACTGGAGAGTAACACACTGTACTTTGCATCCAGGTCCAGTACCGAGCTGCCCAGGGCAGTTGGGTAGCGGATCGGAGGTGGGATCGCCTCGTCTTACCTCGACCCTCCGGCACCGGCTCCGGCACCGGCTCCGGCCCCGAGGGCGCCGCGGGGGCCGCCCCCGCTCCCTTCCCTACTCTTTCCAAACGGGTCCTGTCTCCGCTTTGGCTTTGTTCTGCAACTCTGCCCAGCCAGCCAGAAGAGCAGTGCACGGGGCTTAGTACTTACTATCCTTGCTGCTGGTTTGGGATTTGGGGTTTGGGGTTTTGAGTTTGGCTTTTCTTTTTTTTATTATTATTTTAGTTTTAATTTGATTTTTGTTATTGTTATTTTGGTGTTTTTTTTTTTTTTAATCTATTTCTCCCTCCAACAGGCAACAGAGATGCACAATTTGGATCGAGCTGTTGTTTTTGCAAGAGAGTTATCCTCTAAGCTTATTGTTTAAGGAGACACTAATACAGATACAACTGGAATCAAAGAAAGCAGGAGAGAAAAAAAATAATCGAAATCTAGAGGAAAGGGGACTCTGCCCCTTCAGAGAGGCTAGTGGCAAAGGAGCCTGCCTTGAGACTCACCAGGGGAAGAATCTGCTTCACCAATTCTCCCAAATCAATTTCCTCATAATTCCCCTGGGAGCAGGTCATCCTTCTCTATGTACAGTAGCAAATGGTGATAATTAATGTCTTCGACCCTGTCGCGGATAAAAATACTATCCTTTTAATTTCTGTTACAAAAATAGGAGTAATATTCAAAACAATGATTGTCCTTTTTTTTCTATTTATTTTATATAAAAACATAAACAGCTCAGCGAATTCTTGATCTTGTGCAGGCTTTTCATGAAGAATTGTTCTTTAGTATTCTTAGTAGTATATATATATATATTTATATATTATATATAACTTAATGATTGGTCCACAAAGTAGATCTGTGCGTTTCTCTAGTGCTTTTGTACAAAAGAAAAACAATATTATTATCAAAATATTCATTTAATGGCTTTACTTCATACATAAATACATGTTTAGATAACACAGGAGCGGTGATTGTTCAGTCAGTTTGGAAATGACTTTTGTTTTTGTTTAGATTTTTTTGTTCTTGTTGTTGTTGGGGTTATCTCTCTCTCTCTCTCTCTCTCTTTCTCTCTCTCTCTTTCTCTCTCTCTCTCTCAGGACTTTGTATACACAGGAGTGGCTGGTTACTCACATCGCTACAAATACGCTACTCGGCGTCCTTTGTTTTTAACTCTTTGTTTATACCTTTTCCCCAGGACGGCTGCTAAGTATTTCTTGACAGCCATTTGTTTCCGGTAGCGGCTGTAGCTGTCCGTGAAGATGCCGTCTATGTGCCGCTTGGTCAGCGGTTCCGCCTCGTCCCCCAGGCCGCCGCTGGCACCGCTGCAAGCACCGAGAAGCACAGCTGCATCAGGCGGGGCCGCTCCGCCCCCTTCCGCGCCCCTCCGCACCACCCCGCGGCCCCGCGCAGCCCCGCGCCGCCTGCTGCCCCGGGCGCAACACGTTGCGCGGAAGATGCGCGGGGAGACAAAGGCCTCTCCGAAACCCGGTGCGCGCAAGTGGCGGCGGCGGGAGAGACAATATCTCCCCACCATGAATTATTCATTGCGGCCGGGAAAGCTGCTCTCCCTGGGGCTTTATTAACGTGTTACCTTCTGCCGAAGGGCAGCGGGTGGCACCGGGCTCGCCCCTGCCCCACTGGCGACCGGGAACCCCGGGGAGCCCCGCCCGCCAGCTGGGGCTGCGCCGGGCTGCAACCGAGTTCCCCCCACCCCCTCTGCAGCCGAGCCCTCCGTCATGGCTCCCCATAAACTGCTCCCCCCAGCAAATCGTGGAGACTGCCCAATTTCTAAATTTTAAATCAGTTGATATTAAAATTATAGAGACATAGATATAGACACACACACACATATATATGTGTGTGTGAGAGTGTGTGTGTGTGTCTATATCTATCTATATATCTATATGCCCGAGCGTGTTAACCCAACCAAACCTCTGCGACCGCCTGAGCTCACTCTGCACCGGGAGCCGACCAGGAGCCACGGCCAGGAGCGCCTGAGGATTGGGGAGCCGGACTACCCCAGCCTCATCGCGGGCGCAACACGTTCCCGGCCCCGGCCGGGACAGCCTTGTTCTCCCCAGTCACCGCCCTTTCAGCGCCTCCGCTCCAGCAGCACCAACGCCCACCTCAGAAAAGAGCAAGCAGAGACCCTTACCCGATCCGCTTGGCCATCAGGGAGTGCAGATATTTCCTGGCGGATAACTGGCCCAGGAGTTTCCTGTAGGCTTTGTTGAAGATCCCATCGGCGTGCCTGGGCAGAGGGAAGAGCCCGCGGGTGAGCGACGAGGCCCGGGAGCCGGCTGCGGCGGGTTGCGGGAGCCCGGGCGATGACAGTGACCATCCTTCCCCGCCGGCGAGCGGAGGGCGGCATCTCCCCGCGTCCCCCGGGACCCCTCGTCCCCACCCAGATCCCTCCCCGTCGCGCTCGCTCTGTTCCGCGCCGGCTGGGCATTTCTGCTCCGTTTGCGGGAGCATCGCTAGCCCTCCCCGGCGCGGGCGGCTCCCCCGCTCCCTCCCCCGCGCTGCTGGAGGTAAGGCGGCTTTTCCATTTCTTCTAGGCTTTACACTGAGCACCGGGACCGGGGCAATGTGGTCGTTTGTTTGGGTTCGGGATTTTTATTTTGATGTTGTTGATGTTGGCTCGTTGAGTATCATTATTAATTTTTTTCCCCCTAAGTGGCTCTGTCAGGCCCGTTTGGCTCCCGGCTCAAAATTCACGCCTGACACCCCGCGAGTTGCTGTCACCTCTTTTCCGGTGGGTAATACAAGGTGTACATCTCGCCGATCATGGAGGACGGATTCGCTATGCCGTGGGGTTCGTGGTCGTAAGCGAAGTCCTGCAGGGTGTTCCCCTCCTCGTCGTAGACTTCATCCTCCAGCCTGGCAACGAAAGCATCAAGGAGAAGGAGTCAGCCGGGCTCCGCGGGGCGCTCCGCTCCACTCCCCACTGCAGGCTTCCGACTGCGTCGGTGGCCACCCTTCGTCGGAGCCCACCCGGGCACCCCGGGGGCCCCGTCCGACTGCCCCCATCCCCTCCCTGCACCCGCCCGCTCCCCATCCCCGCCCTCCGCCTCCTCTGCGGGGCAGGACCGCGGAGGAGGGAACACACCCGCCGTCAGACGTGCTCCGAGAAACCCCCCAAACATGCCACCCCCCTTCTTCCCCCCGGCCCACTCCCCGGCCCGAGAAACAGCTCCTCTCTGCCACAGCCAGGGTTGGTGCTTTCCGAGCGGAGCGCACGCCCGCGCAGGCTGCCGCACACACACGCGTTCGTGTGCCAGGGGCTGGGAGGGAGCCGAGCAGCCTCCGCGGCGGAGACGGGGCGGTGAGCGGCAACCCCGCCACCGGGGCCGAGGACCGCGCCCCGTTCCTCCTCTCAGCGCCCGCCGGGCCAGGGGGGGCTTCGCCGGTTGTTTTTCGTTGAACGGTGGCTCTACACTTTGACATCGCGCCAGTTTTGTGTGTGTGTCCCAGCCCCACCCCGCCCCCCATGCTCTCTGCCTCCCTCTCTGCAGTACGATGTAGGTCATTGCACGTTACAGGCAGCTATTTTTGTCTGTGAGCTTTAGCAGAGGTATTAATAATAGATGCCGCTAAAG